ACAGTAAGAGTAAGCAATAACATACAACTTGCTTTTTCTATATACTATGATTTTTGTATAGTAATGTAGTATTCACCGATTATGATTTTTTTTAGAAAAAATTCAAATCTTCTTTTGTGGCTGCTACTAATGCGTCTCCTAATGACACACCAAGGCGTTCATATCTAAAACGTGGAATTTGTATTTTGTCAGATATAATGCAGATAAAAAACAAGAAAATAAAAGAATTACAACAAATTGTCCGGCGCAAAAATAAAAAAATTGATTCTTTGTCTGAAATTATATGCGAACTTAAAAAAAATAATCTTTTAACTGAAGACGACACTAATATTCTTTTAGAATCATTCGGTAAACATTCTGATTTAATTACTAAATGGTCAAATAAAAATTTGGGGAAAAAGGTGCCGAAAAAATGTAGTCCATCTATTAGGAAATTTGCACTATCTTTACATTTTTTTTCTCCTAAAGCTTATCAATACGTGAGAAAAATCAGTTTAATACGGTTTTACCACATCCTCGTACTTTAGGAAAGTGGTATTCAAGCATAGATGCAGAACCTGGCTTTACTAATGAAGCATTGAAATCGCTAACATTAAAAGTAACAAACTCTAACCATCCAATTTATTGTAGTCTCATGCTTGACGAAATGGCCATACGACAACATCTAGAGTTTAGTGGTTCAAAGTACTACGGTCGAGTTGATATTGGCAATGGCTTAGATAATGAAAACTTAGTATTAGCTAAAGATTGCTTGGTTTTTATGGTTGTTTCCATAAATGAAGGGTGGAAACTTCCAATTGGTTATTTTTTAGCTTCTAATTTAAATAGCACACAAAAGGCTGAACTGACAAAACAAGCTTTATATGCTTTGAAAGCTACTGGTGTACATATAGTTAGTCTAACTTTTGATGGTTGTACAACAAATGTTACCATGGCACGGCTATTAGGTTGTAATGTTGATGCTTCAAATTTACAAACAGCTTTTACAGTAGAATACGCAGATAAAGAAAAGGATGATATACCTATTTTCATAGATCCTGCACATATGATCAAGCTAATAAGAAATGCTTTTGGCGAAAAACAAATATTGCAACATGAAAACAGATTCATCAAATTTGATTTTATCGAACGTTTATTTTTATTACAGGAAAAAGAAGGATGTCATCTCGCAAATAAATTGAGAAAACAGCATATTTGTTTTCTTAAGCAAAAGATGAAAGTAAAATTGGCCACTCAATTATTGAGTAAATCAGTGGCAGATGCGCTAAAATTTTGTAAGCACAAGTTAAATATTCCAGAATTTGATAAAGTAGACACTACAGTAGAATTTATTGAAATATTTAATTCCGTATTTGATATCTTAAATTCACGGTCTTACAACGCCATTAATGAAAAAAAGGCACTTTGCAAAGAAAACTTTAATTTCATAAATAATTTTACTGAAATGTTTACAAAATATATTAAAAATTTAAAAATTAAAGAAAAAAATGAATTTGTACCAGTCTTGGAATCTAGTAGGAAAACTGGGTTCATTGGATTATTGGTTTGTTTAAATTCATTAATACTTTTATACCATAAATATATATCTACAGATAAGTTAGATTACATAAGGTTATACAAAATCAGCCAAGACCACTTGGAATTGTTTTTTGGAAGTGTTAGAGCACAAGGGGGTTATAATAACAACCCCACTGCACGACAATTTCAATCGGCTTATAAAAAATTGGTTGTCCGAATAAATGACGTAGAAACATTTAATAATGGCAATTGTATTCCCCTGGAACACATTGACATATTACATTATTCCAGTTCAAACCCTATTAAAGTAATAAATATGAATAGCAGTTGCGGCAATTCAAAATTAGATTTAATATTATCAGACCAGAATGAATTTGAAAACAATAGAGTTTTTGAATCATACTTAAATGACCATGACTATATTTGTCAACCAAAAGATGATGGTATCAATCTTTTTACTAAAGAAGTAATTATATATATTGCTGGGTTTGTAGTTTTCAAATTAACATAAGTCCTTCATTGTGAAACATGCATTAAATCATTAATTGCTGTAAATAAAGATTTATTTTTGAATTCACTGATTACTCTGAAGAATAGAGGAGGTAATAAAGGTGGGCTAATGTATCCTAGCGAAGATGTACTTCAAATATGCTTT